ATCTTCTTTGTCTTTTTTTTTTTAACTGTTGTTGCTTTAAAGTCTGTTTTATCTGATATAAGAATAGCTCTTTCTCACTTTTGGATTTCCATTTCCACAGAATATCTTTTTTCACCTCTTGACCTTGAGTTTGTATGCATCTTTATGTGTTATCTGAGTCATGTGAAGACAGTAGCCAGTTAGTTTGTGATTCTTTATACATTCTGTTAATCTGAATGTTTTAAGTGGAACATTTAGGCCATTTACATTGAACATGTATATTTAGATGTAAGGTATTGATCCATTCATCATGTTAATTGTTAGCTAGATACTTTTATTCTTAATTGTGTGTGTGTGTGTGTGTGTGTGTGTGTGTTTATAGGCCCTGTGAGTTTCAAGAGGTTCAGTTTTGGTGTGTATCAAGCTTTGTTTTTTCAAGATTTAGTCCCCTTTTAAGCACTTTTTGTAGAGCTGGTCTGGTAAGAACCAATTCCCTCAGCATTTGTTTGTCTGAAAATGACTTTATTTCTCCTTCATTTATATAACTTAGTTTTAATGAATACAAAATTCTTGTCTGACAGTTGTTCTGTTTAAGGAGCCTGAAGACAGGACCCAAATCACATCTGGCTAGTAAGGTTCCTCCTGAGAGGTCTGCTGTTTCTCTGATAGCTTTTTCTTTATAGGTTACCTAATGCTTTTAGTGTTGTCTTAGGGATCTTAGAAGTCTTTCATTCATTTTGACTTGAGATGCCTGATGGCTATATGCCTTGGTGATGACCTTTTTGTAATAAATCTTCCAGGAATTCTTTGAGCTTCTTGTATTTGAATATTGAAATTTCTAGCAAGGTCAGAGAAGTTTCCTCAATTATTCAACAAAATATGTTTTCAGACATTTAGTTTACTCTTCTCCCTCTGGAACATCTATTATTCTTAGATTTGGTTCTTTTACATAGTCTCATACATCTTGGGGACTTTGTTCATTTCTTTTGATTTTTTTTTCTTTATTTTCATCAGATTGGGTTAATTCAAAGACCTAGTCTTTGAGCTTTGAAATTTTTTCTTCTACTTGTTCTAGTCTATTGTTGAAAGCTTTCACTGCATTTTGTAATTCTCTGTGTCTACATATTCAGAAGTTCGGATTGGTTTTTCTTTAAGACACCTATCATTTTATAAAATGAGTATATAATAGTTGACGAGGGATACTGAGCTCAATACCAGAAGTACTGGGTCCAAGAGACAAAGGTAAAGTTGAAGACAGGTTCATGATGATTTCAGGTTAGAGGCCTTTGAGTGCAGGAGCTTACACCTCCCTTCTTAAAGCATAGTATAGATGAATGACTTAAAAATTATGTCAAAGTCTACCATTTTGAAAACTTTGACGTACTTTAAAATGTTGTAATATAATGATGATTTAAGGGAAAAACTTATGACTGAATAAGTTTATTTTTTAAGTAAAGCACCTTAAACTTTGTCAGTAACCAAATTCAAAGACACAAGCAACTGCTAGTATATCACAAAAGGGTGGGATTATGACAGTAAATTTGATTCTAATAAATCAAATTTAAAAGCACAGAAATGCACAGAAAACACAAATGACAAACACTTTAAAAATTTAAGAGGAATTGGTCGGGTGCAGTGGCTCACACCTGTAATCCCAGCACTTTGGGAGGCCGAGGAGTATGGATCACGAGGTCAGGAGTTTGAGACAAGCCTGGCCAACATAATGAAACCCCATCTCTACTAAAAACACAAAAATTAGCCAGGCCTGGTGGCCGGTGCCTGTAATCCCAGCTACTTGGGAGGCTGAGGCAGGAGAATCACTTGAACCTGGGAAGCGGAGGTTGCAGTGAGCTGAGATCGTGCCACTGCACTCTAGCCTGGGTGACACAGCAAGACACCATCTCAAAAAAAAAGAAAAAAAAAAGAGGAATTAGTCATATGAAGTTTATTTTGCCAAAGTGACTACTGATAGGGATATAATTGCCTGTGATTAGTCAACACAGAAAAAAATAAAAATACAACATCAAAAACTTTATAAAGTGGTTATCATAATGTAATAAAATAATATTTTAAATATTTTATTTAAATATTTTAATTTATTTAAAATGTTTTAATATTTGTTATTTAAATATTTTATTTATTTAAAATATTAAATATTTTATTACATATTTCATCATGTAATTAAATATTTTAAAATAATATCATAATGTAATAAAATAAAGTAAAATTAAATAAAACCAACATAGATTTACAAAGACTAGAACTTTTACTTTTTAAAGGTATAAAGCTAATATTTAACGCAGATTTAAATCTTTAGGCTGGGGTACACAATCAAGTGCTTTATATTCACTCCATAATATATATCTTAAACTTGGCCTAAATGTATTATACTGAGGTAGCGGGAAGGGCCTTGGCCCTTAATTCTGTTTCTGCTTTAGCCCTAGTACCCCAAAAAAACCCAAACAATGTGTAAATGGAGCGTGTGAATGTAGTTAATGTAGTTTGTTTCTCTTATACAAAGAGAGACCAAAAAGATGAATCAATAGTGGTGTTTCAAATTCCATTAATCTTCAGTGTTTTGACAAATATTCACAAACACATAATCATTGATTTCTTTGAACCCTTACCATGACCCTTTGAAGTAAATAAGTTAAATATTCTATATTTTCCTCCTATTAATAATGAAATTACAGTTCAGTGAATTGTGTTACTGTTCCATCTTGGTTAAGTTATTAAGCAAAGCAAACAAACAGACATCAAAAAGCAAAACAAACAAACCAAAAAATGACTGGATCCATATCTTTTGATTTCAAAGCACACTTTCATTTCTTGCAGAACATATATATCAAGTCCATAGATGGTTTTCTACTTTTGTCAAGAAGAAAATAGTATACTGAGTAGGAAGTATAAGAAAATAAAAGGAGAAAACATAAGACATAAAAGGTATATATGAAATAAATTGAATAATAAAGAGATTAGTTTTCCTGAAACGGACCAGGAAAATGTATTCTAATCTTGTGTATTATATTTATAATACTTAAATTCAATTCAAAATGAAAATAGAAACTATGGAAACTGAAAGTTAACTATAAAAAAGCACACAAATATTCTAGCCAGAATATTTTCTAAGCAGTTGTATCTTCTTTTTTTTTTTTTTTTTTTTTTTTTTTTTGAGACGGAGTCTCGCTCTGTCGCCCAGGCTGGAGTGCAGTGGCGCGATCTCGGCTCACTGCAAGCTCCGCCTCCCGGGTTCACGCCATTCTCCTGCCTCAGCCTCCCGAGTAGCTGGGACTACAGGCGCCCACAACCGCGCCCGGCTAATTTTTTGTATTTTTAGTAGAGACGGGGTTTCACCATGGTCTCGATCTCCTGACCTTGTGATCCGCCCGCCTCGGCCTCCCAAAGTGCTGGGATTACAGGCGTGAGCCACCGCGCCCGGCCAATTACTTTAGTCCTTATATTGTTTTTTGTTTTTCTTCTCTGCTACAGTAATTTTCAAAGTTTTGTCTTTGCGTTTACCAATTCTTCCTTTTCATCAAGTCTTCTGTTGAGTCTCTAGTCAATTTTTCAATTAAGTTATTTTATTATTTGATTCCAGGGTTTCTGTTGGGTTCTCTGTAGTTACTACATCTTTATTGATATTCACATTTTGTTCATTGGTTATGTTTCTAATTTCATTTAGTTGTTTATCTGTGCTCTCTTTCAATTTATTGAGCATACTTGACAGTAATTTTGAGCTTGTCATCTGGCAAGATCTATATCTTCATTTCTTTCGGGTCACTTTCTGGAGATTTAATTTGCTCCTTTGAATTTGTAGGCGTCTCTCTTTCTTTACAGGCCCTGTTATTTTTTCCTTGACAAAATACCTGCATATGGAGAATCCACCAACATTCACAGACTTTGCACTCCAATTTTCTATACGGAGAACTTTTCCCACTCTACCTGGCTATCCTCTCAGGCTTTTCTGGGTAGGCATTCCTCTTTGTGTGTTTTGGGCTTGTGTGTGTAATATTTTATTTGAAAAGACTTGCTGGTTTCTACTCAAGATCTTCTCTCATGTCTATGATACTGTGACCTCTCTAGCACCACAGTAAATTATGGCAGTGGAGCTGCACTTAATCTTTCTGTGGTAGTGCAGATTCTGATGTACATTTAATTGTCTTTGTTCTGAGAGATAAGCCCAACCTGCTTCTCCATTCCTGTGGCTACTTGGATATGGGAAGGCAGATACCAGTTCTTGGGCAGGGGGAGAAGGCGAGAATCTCTCATTTCTCTAATTATTAAGGTATGAATCCATCATGAGAGCTCTACTCTCATACCAAGTACCCCTAAAAGATTCCATCTCCAATTATCATCACACTGGAAATTTGAGCTTTAACATATGAATTTGGGGGGAACACAAACATGCGGTTCAAAAGTGGGAATATTTTAATAGTAGAGCCAAAGGAATTCTTATGGATGTAGATATGAGCTGTAAGAGAAAGGATGAATCAACACATTTTGTTAAAATGATATTAGAAATTAAAACATCTACAACCATTACATCTCACACTGATACAGTCACTTGTGTTGGACGTAAAATGCCTCTTTGCCTCCACAAAGTTCTATTTTTCAGCTGACTTCTGGAAGTGCTACCTTTGCGAATGTACTGCCGTTCCCTTCCCAGTTAGCCAATGCTATTCACATGGAAATAAAGAATAGCTCACCATCATGGCCATCTGAGAACAGTGTCTAGTTTCCTATAAATAAGTTAATGAAATTAGTTTAAAAATAGCAACCTTAACTACACTCCTCTAACAATCGAATGCTGTAACCAAGTTAGAAAATCATGCTTTAGTAGTGTACTGATAATATTATAAGGCTGAGAAGTTTCAACTTGTATAGGGAAAAATGGGTATGCTTTTTATGATAAAAATAATGTTTTCAAGTAAAGAAGAAAAACTGTTTTAATTCCATGTACCTATAAACATCATATAGTTCTTTGATTAACCAATTTTCCTTTTTTCTTCTGCTGTTTTTAGATGTTCTTGGCAGCCCTGTCATTCAGCTATATTGCTAGAGCACTAGGTGGAATCATTATGAAAATGTCCATCACTCAAATAGAAAGGAGATTTGACATATCTTCTTCTCTTGCTGGTTTAATTGATGGAAGTTTTGAAATTGGTAACTTTTTTTTTGTATTTTGATAACCATACTGGCATAAGTTAAAAAACAAACTGTTTATGTATGCTTTATACCACTGGGCCTGAACTAGGTGTAAATTTGTCTCTCATGGGCAGTTTGGCAATATGTTAGGACATTTTTGTTGCCATAAATGGGCTGGGGCAGGGAGGATGCTACTGGTACCTAGGGGTAGAGGTCAGGGATGCTGCTAAACACTATGCAATGCGTAAGACAGACTTACCAACAAATAACTATCCCTCTCAAAATGTCTATAGTGAGGGTGTTGAAAAACTCTGATCCTACACAAACTCATGGCTTGCAAATTAACTTTTTTGGAAGCTTTATCTCCCTTGTCTCAAGGTGCTCCAGTGTGAAGAAAGGTTGAGGGAGGACTATAATTCTTCTGGTTTTAAGTGGAGGGACTGCATAGGAGCAACCTACGCTAGGTTCTAGTGTTTAACTGTGTACAACATTGGGGGTTTAAAGTCTTTTTTTTTTTTGAACGTTGAAGATATTGGTTTGATGTCATCATTTTAATTTGGCTTTCTCCAACAATAGTGACGTTTTATATAATTATTGAAAATAGGTTTTTTTTCTTATTTTACCCACTGCTAGCTCATAGCTTCTGCTGATTTTCGCTTTTTCTTTTCACTTTCTAATTATTTGGAGGGACCAACAAATTGTCTATTATATAGACTGCAAATATTTCCTACAATTTCTGTTTCTACTTTAACTGTATTTACACAATGCTTAACTAATGACTCAAATGTAATTGTCAAAGGAAAATTTATCTCTTTATATGAATTCAGAATGTTTGTCATTCAAAGATATGACACTCTACATGTCCTTTACTTTTTCACCTCCCAAGCTCAATGAAATCATCTAGAATTTTAGAATTGGAATGTTATTAGTTTTAAAGTTTAGTTCACTGTATGTCTATTTTTATTACGAAATTAATCCTTAACATATTTGTTAAACTTTGCAGCTATTTAACAGCAATTATTCGAACATCATTATCAGTTTAGTTTCTTTGCTTACCTCTGTTTTTTGAATCCTGTGACTTCAAATCTCATCTTTACTCTTTCTGGAGTATACCTCCGTGTATAGATGACCCTCTGTATCCACAGGTTCCACACCTGTGGATGCAAGTCATATTCAAAAAATATAAAACTAAAAAATGGCCATATATTAATAAAAATGATACAAATAAAACCAACATAGAATAGCAACTATTTGCATAGTATTTACATTGTATTAAAAGTATTAGAAGTTATCTAGAGATGATATAAAGCATACAGGAGGATGTTGATAGGTTATATGCAATACTGTATCTTTTGTTTGTTTGTTTTTGTTTTTTGAGGCAGAGTCTCCCTCTGTCACCCAGGCTGGAGTGCAGTGCCCTGATGTCAGCTCACAACAACCTCCATCTCCTGGGTTTAAGCAATTCTCCTGCCTCAGCCTCCCAAGTAGCTGGGATTAGAGGCGTGTGCCACCACATCCGGCTAATTTTCATGTTTTTAAGTGGAGATGGGTTTTCACCATTTGGCCAGGCTGATCTCTAACTCCTAGCCTCAAGTATTTTGCCAGCCTCAGCCTTTCAGAGTGCTGGGATTACAGACATGAGCCTCCATGTCCAGGCAATACTACAGCTTTTTACTTAAAGGACTTGAGGATTCACAAATCTTGGTGTCTACAGAGCATCCTGGAACAAATAACCCACTGACACTGAGGGATGACCGTAGTTATTTTTTTTTTAGGAAGAATTGAAAGCATGGCATATTTTCTAAGCCCTTGCTTGTTGAAATATGCTTTTATTTTAGTATTATATTTAATTGATAATTTGTCTGAGTAAGTAATTAAAATTTCCAAATGATTTTTTTTCTCAAAACATTAAAAATATTCATCTACTGTTTTAAAACATTCAATGTGGTATAAAAGAAATTATTACCACTGTAAATTTCATGCACTGATATGCATCTCCTTTTTATCTTTAAATATCCAAAAATTTACCAGCATGTATCTGAGACTCTGTCTTTCTACATTACTTCTGCTGGACAAATGTAGGAACTTTCATCTGAAAGCTTATGTCTTCCTCTAACACAAAAACTTTATTTTCTGTTTCCTATTTGTTTCTTTCTGTTTTTATTCTTTCTTTTCTTCTGAAACATATATGAGATAAATAATATATTTTCTGGATATTTTTCCTTTAAAATTTTTTTTCTTTAAATTTCTACCTCTTTTCTTTATGTTTCATCAATCTTCTCTGATGTGTGATGTCATCTTATTATATCAAGTTCTAATTTGTAAATTTTAAATTATATTTTAAATTTATAACAACACTTTATTGTGCTTATTATTTTTAGTCTGCCAGTTCTGATTCTGTGGCTGCAAGATGCCATTGTACCTCTAAATACACTAACAGGATTTTTTTTTAAAAAAGTTTCTATTCTTTTTAGTTTAATTTTGTTTAAGTATTTATTCTTGTGTTGCTTTATCTGCTGGTCCATTCTGGTGCTTTCTTTCATGAAACTATTTTCCATCAATGTTCAACAATTCTTGATTATTGTCTGTTCATTGTTATATATAAGGCTATAGATAAATCTGAATTGGTCTGCTCTGATGGCTCTTCCACATTTTAATCTAAATAATTTATACTCAACATTAAATCTCAAATAATGTCTCCTCCAGGAAACTTTCACAAAGCCCCTAATTAATTTAAGCTCCCTATTTCCATAATCTAACAGCACATCTATTCATCTGTTTTGTTTTATTACTGGTGTGTTTCTAGAGAACAAGTACCATGATTTATTCTATTTCTGACTCTGAGCACTGTGGTAGGTACATAGTATAAATTTAAAGAATGCCTGGAATAAGTTTAAAATATGCATGAATGATGATCTTTCCCTCAGATTAGGAAGACAGTTTTCCATTCCAATGCAATCCAGTAAACTCCACATTTTCAAAAAAACTTTGCTTCTCTCATATAGCCAAATTACCTGAGTGCTTTCTTTGCATATAAAACCTATTCTACTTATTAATCCTATACAACTTTCCAATGAGTGGTTTAATGTAGGAGAGTTTACCTTCACAATTAAATTTCATGGTCTTTGAGGGAAGGTACGATGTCTTGGGCATATTTGCATTCCTTTGGGGCATTCAGTTCTACTAGATACAAAATTACGCTAAGTCATATCAACTTAATTCTGTTCTTTTTCTAGGAAATTTGCTTGTGATTGTATTTGTAAGTTACTTTGGATCTAAACTACACAGACCAAAGTTAATCGGAATTGGTTGTCTCATTATGGGAACTGGAAGTATTTTGACAGCTTTACCACATTTCTTCATGGGATAGTAAGTGCTAAACAGCTCTGAGCCATTTATTATCAGCTACTTGTAACTTAGCAGTAGAATTTTATTTTTATACTTTTAAGTAGGCAGTTACCTTTTGAGAGGATTACCCGCATGTATGCGTAGAGAAATGGAGTATATTTCCTATATAATAGTTCATGTATTGCTTTATTCATCATGGCTTTTATAAACTTTTAAATAAGAATAATATTATATAAGATATACAGTTTTATATGAAATAAGTTATTTACCAATTTTAGTATAACGTATGTATTTTATGTTTTGCCTGTAAGATTTTGATTATACTCAGTAAGACTTCACAACTTCACCCGCTGCTGTATATGTTTTCCCACCAGCATTTCAATGAAGCTGCTCTTTCTAAGGTAACTTGTAGTTATAGTTAGAGTAAGAAGCTCATATGAGAAAACTGAAAATAGCAATAACTTAAATAAGATAGAAGCTTATATTTTACATTTTGTAATGTAGCTAGTCCAAGGATGATGTGATTCTATTTTTCATCATAGTGCTATGCCTTGCATGGCCCTGTCCTCCTGTTACAAAATGTAGCAGTGTATTTCCAGGCAACAGGATAGAAGAAGAGAGGAACAAGAACAAAGAGTGCACATGGGCTGAGGCCCAGGAGCATTTTCAGAAGCAAAACACTTTCACTGATTTCACGTTTACCAGAAGTCGGTTACATTTTACACATAGATATAATATATAGATGTTGGAAAAAATATACTTTATTCCAGGCTTCCCTATTTCCAGCTAAAAAAAATCCCAACTTCTGTTACTATGGAAGGAGAGAAGAAAGGATACTGAGAGACAATGAGTGGTTTGTTAGAGACATCAATTACTTAATGCCAGCAATCATGCCTTTTGGTCACCATATTAATTCTGCTTTTCCCCCCTATATTTGGCCTTTATAAGAACTTTCTTCTTAATGATACTGCTCTAATACACATCATATTCCACAATCTTGATTCATTTTCCTATTTTTGTGGCTTCTTCATCATGACCATCTTTTTCCTTTGCTTCTGACACCATAATTTCAGTGTCCCACAATTCCCTCTAATCTTCTTAATATCTTGTTCTTCATGATTTTTATGGAGAATATGCCTTAAATGCAGCTACCCCAGCTTCATCTTCCATTGCTCCCCATATTTGAGGATCACATTTTAGGCTTACAGTTCTTAGTGTGCCATAATATGTCATATCTTTGCATCTCTTATTTCTACAGACTTGAATTCTTTTCTTCCTTTGTCTACCAATTAGAATTCTATCTATCTTCAATATTCATTTAATCTATCCTTCACATTGTGAAGTTTTCTTTGATCTACACCCCACCTCCAAGAAAAGCTGATTATTTCTTTTTGGTGGGTGTGTGACAACTCAGGGCCTTGTATATTAAACTTACTATATCTTTGATCATATACATTTATCTTAGAGAGTGTGACACTTCCAAACACTGTGTGTTTTATTTCTTGTTCTTTGAAGTTGAGCAAAATGCCTGGCACACTATATGGTGCCCTTAGGGCTCACAGAGCACTTAGTATTTTTGAGCATCAACATCCATCCCTAATCCAGCTCCATCTCTGTTGTTCTTACTAAGCTTTTCCTCATAAAGTTGAAATGAATTAGAAATCTGTTTTTATTGAGTTTTGAAAAGTCAAGCACTAGTGTGTGCGTGTGTGTGTGTGTGTGTGTACATGAAAGAAAATCTGACAGATTGACCATCTTTGATGATAACTCAAAGGGATAAATAGACATAGTTAACAGATTAAAAAAAAAACCAACAGGTGAAACCAGGATATTTCATATCTTGACCAGAATATAAGCACTCTTAGGATAATAGCAAGGTGATAACCCACTTTGTTCACAGTGTATTGAAGTATCTTTCTCAGTGGACTCTCTCATTTCACCCCCTTCTCATCACCTGTTCTGAAATACATGCTGAGAAGTTGACAAACAAGATTCTGGTAATTTGGAGAAGACAGTGGTTCAAATAAAGGGGAAAATTTCTCTGTATTTCTGGGAAAACTGAAAATATTCAGTAGACAAGCAAAATGTTCAATCTAATATTGCTCTTATAGTTACAGGTATTCTAAAGAAACCCATATTAATCCATCAGAAAATTCAACATCAAGTTTATCAACCTGTTTAATTAATCAAATCTTATCATTCAATAGAACATCACCTGAGATAGTAGAAAAAGGTAAGAATTAATAGTGACAGTAAAACAAATTCTAGATTGATAGATTTAATCACATCTATAAAGTTTGTGATATTCTTTAGCAGAATTGATTTAAGAACAAATAGGAAGAACATTTATCCCTCACATACAGGCAAAATCATACTGTTAATATATGCAGTCGATTTTTGAACAACACAGGTTTGAACTGCACCTGTTCACTTATATGCAGCTTTTGTCCAACCAATCACAAGGAGAAACCCACCCATGTGGAGGTCTGACTTAAATAGGCCGTTTCCACAGGGCCAACGAGAGGACTTACGTCTGCATAAATTTCTGTACATATGAGTTGTCCTGGAACAACTCTCCTAGTGTCCAAATGGATTATTATATATCAAGGGCATTTAGAAGTAGATAAGAATAAAGAACAAATTTAGTAGGAAATTTGCAAAAAAAACATACACATTTAAAATAAAAAAGCAGAAAGTGGCAGAAATATGTGAATAATAAAACTTCTCTTTATAGAAATGCAAAATGTTATAGCGTTTGAAGACTTTGTAACTATTATGACATAATAATATCATTATAATGATAACCCCAAAATTTAATAAAAATAAATGAAGTGGAGGAAAAAAATGATTTCAAGTTTTATGTATTGCTGAGAGAGTATAAATTGGAAAGTCTTTCTGGAGATTAATTTTCAATATATATTAAAGAACAAAAATATACTTGCCTACTTCCTTGATTAATTTTTTTTTTTTTGAGATGGAGTCTTGCTCTGTTGCCCAGGCTGGAGTGCAGTGGCACAATCTCAGCTCACTGCAAGCTCCGCCTCCCGGGTTCAAGCCATTCTGCTGCCTCAACCTCCCGAGTAGCTGGGACTACAGGTGCCTGCCACCATACCCGGCTAATTTTTTGTATTTTTTAGTAGAGACCGGGTTTCACCATGTTAGCCAGGATGGTCTCGATCTTCTGACCTCGTGATCTGCCTGCCTTGGCCTCCCAAAGTGCTGGGATTACAGGAGTGAGCCACTGCGCCCAGCTCTTTCTTGATTAATCTTAAGGAAATAATCAGAAATGTTCACAAGGACATTTCATAATCACAGCCATGACATCCGTGTTTAAGAGAATAAAAATAAAAATATTTTGTAACAACAAGAGATTGTTTAAACAAATTAGCAAACTATTATTAAACACACTATTATGCAGTAATTAAAATTTTAATATAGAAAAACTCTTAACAACATGGGGAAATTGTGACAATATGGTGATAACTGTGTATGCACCTTAAAAATAACCTGGATTTTTAAGTACATAATGTACATAATGAATATTATGCATATTTTGTTCACTAAAATTGTAGAAGATCTAGAATAACATTTGCAATGATCTTCTGTGTGTCGTGTAATTATAGACAATTTTTACTTGTTTTCTTTGTGCCCTTCTTAATTTTCAAACTTTGTAAAGTAAATATGAATCACTTGTAATTAGGAAAGAAACAAACAAACAAACAAAAAAAAACGAAAAATGAAGGGTTTAAAGTGGTTAAGGTCCTAATAGGAATGTTAAAATTAATTTTTAAAGTAAAACACTTTCTTATCTCTATAGATTGTGTGAAGGAATCTGGGTCACACATGTGGATGTATGTCTTCATGGGTAATATGCTTCGTGGTATAGGGGAAACCCCCATAGGACCATTGGGGATTTCGTACATTGATGATTTTGCAAAAGAAGGACATTCTTCCTTGTATGTAGGTAATGTACAGAAAATATTAAATTTCATGATTACACTCCCTGGATCTACCCTTGAAATAATAACATCATTAGTTTTTTCTTTTACCTATTAGAAAAATATTTGCAGAAGTGTATTGTGTAATATTACTTTAAAAAACATGTTAAATCAAAACCAAGTATTTGTGGCATCTGATTAAATTGTTTTGTAATACTTACAGGTAGTTTGAATGCAATAGGAATGATTGGTCCAGTCATTGGCTTTATCCTGGGATCTCTGTTTGCTAAAATGTATGTGGATATTGGATATGTAGATCTGAGTAAGTACTATCAAAACAAGGTACCATGATAGTGTCTTTTAAGTGCAGGACTCCATTCTTCCAAAGAATTAAATTCAGTCTTTCAATAGTTCTTTGTTTACTATTTTTCAAAAGTTACAAGTAGGAAATAAATGTATTAATAATCAGAATAAAAAAGAAATTTAGCTCCTATTTATACTTTGCTTTTACAACTAAGTGTAAAAAGAGATTTTTAACAAATTTATTTTAGATTACTTGATCCAAAATAACCAAACTTAAAATGTCCCTTTCCCAAAACTGGCCCAGTCAAGTAAATTTTATTTTTCAGTTGATGGTGACTTGGATGTTGATGTGTAGAACTCAGATATTGATGTTTGCTTTACCAAAGCCTCCTTGTGGCTGCTGCATTGACTTACGGCGGGGGTGTTTTAAGAGAGGCCACGGTGCACTTTGGTTGTGATCATTTTTCCTGGTTCTCACTGACGGCTTGGCCTATGGCAATATTTAATGAGTGCTTATAGAACAAATGAATGAAGGAGTGGACACATAAATAAAATTTATGAATTTTGTCTTCACTCTCAGAGCATGCTTTATTTCTCCTCTCATAGAAGAGTGAGAGTCAATGTTGTAAGATCTGCCTCGACTTCAGGCCCTCCTTCCTGCAAATATACCTTCACCATATCCATATTTATCTTTTTTTACCCATACTTATGAAAAAATATTTATCTTTAGCTAATATTAGTAGATCCAACTGGGGTTTAGATTTCCTCTTTCTGCCTCTTCTACATCTGCACCCTCTCTTTTCCTCAGCAAACACACTCAAGTCTATCCCATCTATGTACACATATACATTTTTATATCCCCAAACAACTTGCCAATTGATTAACTGTTTCTCAATTTGTCTTCAAAGCCAGGTACCTAGAAAAAAAATAATCTAACATAAGCGTCTCACCTTTTCACCTCCCATATACTTCTCATCCACTATAATCTGCTTTACTGCTAATAAAACAATCAATTTCTATGTAATTTACTAATTGCAATGGATATTTTTCTATAATTTGTTTTAATGGATAATTCTACTACCTGTTGAATTTTTTTCTTCTTAGATTTTTTTTTTAAACAAGTGCCTAAAACTCAACCTGTCAAAAACTGGTCTCATCGTCTTATTTCCAAACCCACTTTGTTTCCTATATTCCCTCTTGATGAATATCTGTACCTTAATTCAATGATGGGCTGAATTCCTATGTCCTGTAATCTCACATTTCCCTTTATTTAAAATTGGAAAAACTTTTTTTTTTTTTTTTTGAGATGGAGTCTCACTCTGTCGCCCAGGCTGGAGTGCAGTGGCCAGATCTCAGCTCTCTTTTTTATTTTCATAGTTCTCAAAGTCTCTTTCAACATGTGACTTTTCTCATATAACCCTTACTTCATCATTTCCATTGGTCTCAAATTTGGTGCTCCTATTAATCATCAAGAGCATGCCTTTATTGTAGCCCTTCTCACAACAATCTATAAATATTTGCATACTTACCCACCATCTCTTTGAGAACATGACAGAATTGTGTCTGTGTTAGCATATAATAACTCATCAGGGTTTGTGAATAAACAAATATGATTTTCTTGAGGACTTAAATAGATCACTCCAAAGAGACCAAAGGATTCATTCCAAGATGGAATAGCAATTATTGTAGGCCAAAGAATCATAAAGTGTTTTCTATTATAAAACAAAAGCAAGTACCTGATGATATGTTTTATATCTTCCATGTTAGACATATGGCTTAGTGTAGCTATACATTATGTACATTATTTTTACTCATTTGCTCTAGTTTAATCATTGCTTTTTAACACTGAGTACAAAATAAGTGTTGGAGGTCTTTAGGATAGTAGTTTTGTAGCCTCTCTATTCAAAAATAATCATACCATTTTAGAATTCATAGTGATTCAACTTCTACCCCTGACCGTTCAGACTTTATCATGTCTTCTCTTATTCCGTGAGAAGCATGAAGGGAACTTATGATAAAGTATACTTTTGTAAACTTTAATTCCTACAGTAGCCAAAGACATAACATAAATGAGTAAAGAGTATCAAGGACAGGAAATTAGGGCGTGATGGTTAGAATGGGGAGAGTTGTTGTTGGTGCACTACTCTCCCCAAACACCCCAAAACTCATGTGCTCCCCAGAACTCATGTGCTCCCCAGCTCTGGTCTATACTTTTCATACAGAATTTTGGGACCAGCATTAATAAGGCTTTCTGATTGGTTTTCCAGAGAATCCAGGAACTAACATTTTTACGTAGAATTTTCCAATTTTTAAGATTGTGTGTGAGCCACGGGAAACACTGGCAGAACATATCTAGCTCAGTTATGACCTTTAGTCCCTATATATAGACCAGTGAAAGAACAACAAAAAAAAAAGTCATCAAAATTATATTTCTGACAGGTGATAAATAAACACTTAGCATGTATAATGGCGTTACTGATTTAACTAGTCATTTCCTGAAGTCTGCCTGAGTTGTTGATTATGAAACAATATGATCACATAAATCAATTTTAAAACCAGATCAGTCCATACTAGAAAATCATGTATTTCTAAATAGTTTTAAACCAAGTCAATATTTTTTCATGTCAATGATTTTTCTTATTGATCAGAGTAACGGCATCAGTTAAGTGTGCTACAAACTTCCATGGTGTGTGTGTTTCCGTGTGTGTACGCTTTCTTAATTTTTATCATTTTTATTTTATTGAGATAAGAACAATGAAAATGAACCCTACCTCTTAAAAGTACAGTGGAACCTTGAACAGCACAGGTTTGAACTGTGCATGTCCACTTCTACATAGCTTTTTCAATAAGTGTGTTGGAAACATTTTTTGAGATTTGTGACAACATGAAAAACCTTGCAGATAAACTACACAGCTTAGAAATATAGAAAAAGTTAAGAGAAAGTTAGTTATAGTGTGAATACATAAAATATATGTAAATACGATTTTATAATTTACTATAGTAAAATATGCACAGATCTATTATTAAAAGTCAAAATTTGTTAAACTTTCCACAGAGAAACTCTTATAGACCTTAGACGATGCCATTCCCAGTTGCAGTATTAAATCATAACTGCATAAAATTAACTGTAGTGCTTACTTCACTGCTGTAAAAATTCTCTAACCATCTCCTGTTGCTATTGCAGTAAGCTCAAGTGTTGAGAGTATTTATTTAAAATGCCATGTGTCATTCATCATCTCCATGTGAGTAGTTTTCCTCACTCTCCAGTAAGTGATGAATCACAGTAAAAAGTGAACCCTTGCGTTTTCTGTGTATTTTTCATCCTGTTTAGTGCTGTAACATCAATCTTAAGTAACACTGTGTGAGCCATATGAAGTGCCACTAGTGATGCTGGAAGGGCTTCCAGAAGCAAAGAAAAGTCATGACATTATAAGACAAAGTTGAATTGCTTAATATGTACTGTAAATGAGCTCTGCAGCTGGCCACTGTTTCAATATAAATGTATCCAGTACAAGGACCATTGTAAAACAAAAACTAAAACCCACACTCACAGAAAAATGGAATGACATGAAGCCTCACTGCAGCTACAGCATTGGGCACAAAAACCCATCCTTTTAGTGAAATAGCTTTTTATATCATATTGAAAATTCAACTTTTATGTAGATGCAAGATTGCTATCAGAAAGGCATACCTGTAGACTCAAAACATGGTTCAAGAAAAAGTGAAGTCATTATATGACAACTTAAAGCAAAAGGAAAGTGAATGATTTAAAGTTGGAGAATTTCATGCCACTAATGGATAATTTGAAAATTTTCAAAAGAGGTTTGCCTCAAAAAAGTGTCAATATAACAGGAGAAGCAACTTCTACCACTTAGGAGGTAACGGAAAAGTTCTAAATGGCATAAATAAAGTCATTGAGGAGAAAGGACATCTACCTGAGCAGGTTTTTAATCAGATGAAAGTGCCCTATTCTGGAAAAAAAAAATGCCACAAAGTACACTTATTAATAAAGAAGATAAGTGAGCACCAGGATTTAAGGCAGGAAGGGATAGGCTAACTCTGCTGTTCTGCGCAAATGCAGTGGGGTTTATGATCAGAACTCTTCTTACCTATACAACTGCTAATCCCTAAGCCTTGAAGGGGAAAGATGAAAAACAGTTGTTAGTCTTTTGGTTGTACGACAAGAAATCCTGAACAATAATAACTTTTCTTTTCTGAAAAGTTATGACAGTTTCCTTCCATGCTTTGTTCCTAAAGACAGGAAGTACCTTGGCAGGAAGAGTTTACCTTTTAAAGTCCTTTTGATAATTGGCAATGCTCTGGGTCATCCAGAGCCTCATGAGTTGAATACTGAAGGTGCTGAAGTGGTCTGCTTTACCTCAAATGCAATGTCTCTAATTCACCCTCTAGATGTGGGGTCCTAAGGACATTTAAGGCTCATTACACATGTTACCCTATAGAAAGGATTGTAAATACTGTGGAAGAGAACCCCAACAGAGAAAACATTACAAAAGTCTGAAAGGATTACACCACTGAAGTTGCCATCATTGCTGTGTAAAAAGCCACAAAAGCTGTCAAACAGGAAACAAATTTCTACTGGAGAAAACTGTCCAAATGTTGTGCATAGCTTCATGGAATTCATAATCATTCAAGAAAATTATGAAGAGATTGTGGATATGGCAAAAGAAAAAAAAGGTGTGGAGTGAAGAATTTCAAAACATGGATATTGGAGGCATTCGAGTGGTAACAGGCACATCAGAGGAATTAACAGAAGACAACTTGATGGACAGAAGTGCTTCTGAACGAATGTCAGCTGATGAGGAAGAAGACGTAGTAGAAGCAGTGACAGAAACAAATTGACATTAGATAATCTGGCAGAAGCGTTCTGATTATTCAAGACTGTTTTGACATATTTTACAACATGGAAGCTTCTGTAATGTGGGCACTGAAACAAAACAAACAGTGGAAGAAGGATTGGTACCATATAGAAACATTTTAAGAGAAATGATAAAGCAACAA